CTTGAAATAAGAGACTTTATTTGTTTTTTCTTATTATATAATAATTATAATAATCATTGTCTTGTTCCGATTGCAAAGTGTCTCACTAACCTCCTCAATTCAAGAAAAAATGCTCTTATTTTAGGAAAAAATGACTGATTTACATTTTTTGCAGTGTAATACAGGCGGTTTGTTGCTTATTGCCAACAGCAGGCATCAAAGGGTTAAAAAAGGATCATTTTTTATTTCATAAATTGATGAATTGATAGAAAATGAAAAGTTTCAATATTAAACTAAAATGTTTTTTTAACTGAAGCAGATTTAAATTCCTTCCCAGCATCCAGTTTATGATCAAAATGAGTCGTTCTTCTTCTCTGATCCGTTTCTGCAGGAATGTTTTCTATAGACTGGTTCATTCATTCCTTCCAGTTCTCCCAGTCAGGCCCTAACTGGTTCCACTGGTAGTTTTAAGGCGGACGGAGACGTTTCCTCCCAGCTTTGCTTCAACTTTCTGGTTTGTTTTTGAGGCTGTAGTTGGACTTCATCATGAACGGAGTTCTTGGCTTTGATGCTTAGAAATGATGTCACTGCTGATGTCACTGATGATGTCACTGAGAGAGGAAAATATGGAGAAGCAGAGACTGTCGGCGACGCCATCCTGAATTAATCCCTCATTAAAAACCAGACTTAGTTCTGCAGACTGGGACTGAAGTTTATCTTCATTAAAATTATTTACATTTTAATCAAAAATTACCAGAAAATTATTAGAAATGTTGTGAAAATTAACTCTGTTTAATATCATGTTAAATTTGGATAAAATCTCTGGATTATGCATTTAATTCTGCAAACAGGAAAATATTCCAGCATAAAAAGACAGAATTCAGTCCTGATGGAAAATCTGGAAATGATACCTAAAATAAATCAATGTTTATGAGAATAACATCGTTAATTTATCACTTTAGGCTCATCTGTGTTATTCTGCTCCATTAACACGTTAATGTTAAAGGGATTTATTTGTATAATATGTTATATTACTTGATATATAGACTTTAATGACTTCATAATGACTCTGCAATCTGATGGGCCTATTTATTTATTCTAAGTTAAAGTTAATCTACTGATGCTCTGAAA